AATCTAGGCAGCTTCAGATTGGCATCACTTATGACCTTGTTAGAATCGTAGACTCCACCATGACCTTTTTAGAAATTTAGCGGTAGAAGAGAAATTAGAAGTTATCTACCCCCTGTTATGTATATGCTTGATGTTCTCAAGGCCAAGTCTGAGAGGGACCCAGCTTATGAGCTGTCACAGCACAGCTGTCCTTTAGCATATTAAGTTACTTCTGAATCCAGGATGAGAGCCAGCCAAGCAGGTATTTCTAAAGAATTGGGACACGTGCAGCAATTGAAGTTGAAAACATTATGCAGCTGTTACCCACCTTAACCCATCCTTTCTAGAGCTATAATCGTGAAGTCAGAAAAGAACCTTCTCAATCTAGTCCTGAGGTTATAAACTCATGGACCATGGACTGAAAGTAGCCACAGATATTATATTTGGCTCTAAGTGTTTTATATATTTTACATATTTTTTAATTAACTGGTGATATTCAAAATCTGAAGATTTTGCACAAAAAAAAACCATTTTGTTTATCTGGAAAAACACAATGATCTGGCCACATTATGTCCTTAGGACAATAATCAGCTGAGGCTGAGTAGAGGCTACCTCCTTTAAGAATTGTGGGACCTAACCAGACAAATTTGCAAACCCTGGACAAATCTAACCAATTCATTTCACTTATGAAGAAAATGAAGTTCTGAAAGACTGACCTATCCACATTTAATGGCAGAGTCAAAAATCAGGAACCAGGTGTTCTGAATTCCAGTTCAGTAAGCTTCAATGAAGTTTTTTTTGTAGAGAATCTGAAATACACGGACATTACCTGCTTATAGGCACCAAGATGAAGAAAAACATGACTGAGAACTGCCTTTGTACCCACTATCCTCTATTTCCTTGGCTGGGCCAGAAATTCTTAGGGGCTGCAATCCACTGGGGGTAAGATTAGCCAGGAACTCAAACCCCCAGCATTCCTAAGGCTGCTAACCACACCCACAGTCTAAAGTATCTGTGCTCTCTGTGTAAAGTACTGCACATTCCCCGCCTCCACAGATGCTGTCATATCCAGCTGGGTTATTAACAAACATGCTGCTTTTTTCTTTTGTTAATGGATTTTCTCTACCTACACGGGCAGTTAGGGAACAATAGCTTCCATGGGACATTGATGTGGGAAGAACGGTTAGGGAGAACAGTTAGTTACAGATGATGGGGGTCAGTAGGTGCTCTGAACTCCCCTCCTGGCTCTTCCCAAAACATCAAATGGCCATGGCCTTCAATACATTGCTTTTAAAAAAGTGCAGGCTCTGTCCAGATTGACACAGTTTTACACAAAGGATGCCCCCATGCTTCCCTCCAGTGTAGTAACATTGATTTGTAAATGTTTTTTGAAATCTTTAGCTTAAATGGATATGAATACATGGTATATGTTCACTATAACTCAGGTCCACAAATATCTTACCTAAAACTCTCCAAGGGAATGTGTGGTTCCCCTTATATTAGCCTCCCAGAGATGTCAATGACAAAACTATAGTTTGTATGATCAGGATAGGAACTGCATGAAGAATGTATTAATAATAGTGAAAAGAAAACCATTCACACGACATCATTCTCTGTAAAGGTGGTAGGAATACAAAACCAAGGTTGTCTTATTTAAGGGTAGGACAGAAAAAAGTAGGTAGTAACTGAATTGGACTGGAGGTGGCAAAGCCGAATAGCTGAGCTGGTACTCAAGAGTCAGAGATTCTGACCTGTATAAGAATCAAACTGAATGCACAAAGAGCAAACTGACATGCATCATGTCAATGACCACTGAAGCCAAAGAATTTTCCAAGGTTTGCCTCAGCGCTGCCAAGGATCTTAGAACAGCTCCTCCATGTTTCCATGAGGGATACAGCTGCCAGGAACCAGTTAAGTATGGAGACAAATTCTCCTTAGTGCTCCCCTCTGAGCACTGCACTTTAAAAATTCCCTAGAGTCTGTATCTGGCATAAATTAGGGTGTTATAGCCAAGTTCCTAAATTCACCAATTCCCAAGTCACACATCTATTCTGTACAGGTGTATGGAACCTATACCACAGTCTCCTGGGAGCACAAATGAAATACCAAGTAGTTGGCTATGGTCACAGGGGACTTGTCTATTTCCTCTCAAATAAGAGAGATTGATTCTCAATAAGGTGGAAGAGACTCTTCTAGATGCACGCTTTAGACTTCAATAATTTTCCTGCTCACTGAATATTCAGTGACTGTATTCTCTCAGAACTAAATAATGATGACAATAATCACTCTGTAAGGTAGCTTTTTAAATGTGCTGTTTTCTCTCTTAACCCTCAACTCCCTCAGAAGCTGGGGCTGTTCCTCTTTTCAACTTTATTAAAATAGAATTCAGTAAATAGGCTTGGCTCTATATAACAACAGGAAAAACACTAAAGTTCAGAGAGGGAAGCAAGTAGTCTCTCATTCTTTTGGGACACAAAGAAACCCTGGATTAGAGCTGGAAGCCTTTTCACAACAGACATGAACTCATTAAGTGCCCAGCTGAGCACTAAATCAGACTTGAGGGGAAGATCCAGGAAAGCCTTGGTAAGATCTTTTGTAATTGCTTTGTCATCAATAAGCAGGGTTCTGTTAGTCATATTCAGTATGTTCAGGCTAATAATTTGATTCCAGATAAGTCTATTTCAGAATGGGTCTTCTAACAAGGAAAAGACCCAAATCTTAATCTAGCACTGGTGACTCAATTGAAAACCCATGTAACATTTTAAAGTACCAGGTCTTCATGGAGAAAGTATAACAGTGGGGAGAAAATGTCAGCCTTCCTAATATGTCCGCATGTATAGAAGGAACCAATATCATGTACATGATGATTTGCAAAAAAGCTTTTCAGAAAAATGTGGTCAGCAGTATTTATTAGCCCTTCATGCCTGCAGGTTTAAGAATTTGGATAGTTCTTCCTCTTCCTTCCTACTGAGGCTACTGGCTGCTTAGCTATTAAAGCCAGAGTCTAAGCAGAGGCTGTCACAAGACTAAGCCTCCCCTCTCCTCTGCTATGATTTTTCCTTCTAAGTCTCTCCCTCAGAGTTCCACTTCCTGTATGGTAGAGTAAGTGCCTACTAAACCAATCTTCCAATACATAACCATAATAAACTCTCAATAAAATATAATAAACTACCTGAAGGTGCTAGAGATAACAAAAAAGCAGGCAAATTCTGGAGGGAGGTTGAAACTTAAAAGAAAGGAATGGTACAAGGTAAGTTTCCCATTTTTGTGGCTTTTAGGCAGATAGAAAACTACAGTCTTTTTGGTTGAAGAATTAGAATAAACCACAGAATCAGGGAAACCACAGCTGCTGGAAAGTGAGGGGGAAAATCTCAGAAGAAAGGGAGCCAAAAAGTGCTCTAAATTCTGTGCATAAACTCTACCCACATCTCTGGCTTATCCCTAAACTATATGTGGGACAGACCCCAGCTAAAGATAAAAGAATGGAATTGAGATTTCATGAGATTTTAGCTGCTGCCAAGACATGGTTTACAATTTGAGTCCAATAAAGTTAAATGCTTCCTGCTAACACAAGCAAAAAAACTAAAAACAAAATAAAACAGAACCTCCCCCCCCCAAAAAAAACCCCAGCACTTTTCAAAGGAATATAACAGAATCCACAACATAAACATTTACAACGTTCAGAACACAATCTAAAACTATCCAACATACGAAGGCCCCCCCCAATTTTTTTTACCCTTCTGTAAGCAATGAACACCAATTCTGAGATTATTCAGATGTTAAATTTACCAAAAAAGAATTTTAAAGCAGTTATTATAACTAAGTTCAATGAAGTAAAACATGCTTATAGTGAATAAAAAAAAAGGAAAGATAAAGTGTCCAAAATTAAGTCTTTGCCTCCATTTGAAAAATACTTTATTTCCTTCATATTTCTGTTCTTTGGTCCTTTAACCTCTGGAACTGCGTCAATCTGGCATGGAAAAAGACTGATTTACTTTTAGCTCTTCTACAGGGACACAAACCAGATTCACAATTACTGACGTTCTGATGACAAGTGAGATGGGAGCTGGAAAATAACTCATATTCAAAATTACTTCTGCTCAGTTGGAGATTTTGTTTCAAATGACTTTTATTTGTATGAAAACTAACTGGAAAACTGCTTATTGATACTATTAGTAGTTAATTTTTGCTTTTTGGGGGGCTTAAATTAAGAAGTAGAAGGAATTTAGGGAAGTTTGGTGGGGAGATTTTACATATAGGTATTTTCATTATCAGGCCTGATACTGGTCACTACATGGACTGAATTTTCCTTTTGGAAAGTAGAACTCTGTAGAAGGCAGTTTACATACATACAGGGAAGAGTTTTTATGAGAACAGTGATATTCAGAGAAAGAACATCAAAGTCTTATCTTTTGAAGTGATTCTAACATGGAATAACAAAAAGGAAGTATTTGGAAGAGACAATCCCAAGTTCGTTTTGGGTCTCACACTGGCCCCTCTTTTCTTTGGTCACCAAATTCTACATACCATGAAATATACCTCAGAAACAGAGTCAGCTTCCCAGCCCCAAAGATTCCTGGTACTCTCAAAAGTGAGATATGATATGAAAGGGCAGAAATTGGTTCCTGGATAAAACAACAGGATCCAACTCATAAAAAGTGGTAATAACCACAATAAGAAAGATTACCAAACAAACCTGAAATGGGTAGTTTTAGAAATGGAGGTAACCGTTCCTTTCAAAGCAAGGAATATGAATATTTCATTCAATTTTTAAAATGTCCAAAATAAGAGAATAAAAGCTCCCAAAGAGTGTTCTTAGCAACTTTGCAATGTGTACCAACTAAAATCAATTTTCAATATTAAAATGGACCAATGTATCTTTGAATTAAGTGATTAGTTACTATATGAGAAACAGGAAACAAAAAGTGAGAAAGCTGAAAAACTATAAAACTCTTTTTGTCATAGTTCTTCCATTATAAAGCTGATTACTACATCATCCAAAGATACAAAATTCTAGAAACTTTACAAAGTTCCTTTTTAAAATTTATTTTTTGTTATCAAAGAGAACGTCCAGAAACATTGCGTACTAAAGAATTTGTTCATGGCATTGTTTTACAAAATTTTCTAATGGAGAGTGAATATTTTATTTTCTGATGTATCCTTCACTTATTAATGATGAGGTGGATGAACTGATGCAATTACTTAAAAAAAAAAAAATCCAGACAACCTTATAAAGGAAAAAACATCCATTCTCATTCTGCATTTGTTGGTGGGAGTGAATTCAGTGGTCACAGTACCACCACCGACTAAGAATCAACTTCCCCCTAGTAGGGAGCTGTTCTGGACTTCTCAATAGGTCACAAAGGTCTCTCAGATATAGGCACCATGTTTGAAGTCTCACACAAAATGTCTGTGTCACTTAAATTACACAATGTGGCAGTGTTTTTTTTCATGGGGACATAATATTGAAAGAAGGGGCAAAGTAGAAAACAACCTTTTTGCATGTTATATGTGAGTACATTATTGTACTGTGTATGGATTTGAGGGCATTTCAGCCCTTGTTAAAGAGGAATTCCACCAACTGAAGTCTCTGCTGCTCTTGGTGCTGAAGATGTCTATTCATTGAACCACATGTTGTTAGGTCAGGACCTTCTTCATCTACTGTTTGGCTCAAATGGTTTCAACTGAGTTTGGTTGTCCATCTCTACCATTTGAACTTTTATTTCTCCGCCTCAGGATATGTAGGGTACTTGACAGTTTCTATCTTCTCTCGTACTTTGTAGGAGGGATATAGGCCCGTCCTTCCCAGTTTTCTGTTGACACCTTTAGAATAGCCATCCCAGTGATTTCCAGCCACACCAATAATATCTCCAGGTTCCATGGGGATTTCATCTGAAGTTCGAGGTTCATGGGGATAAATGGCAATCTGGTTGTGGGCATTTTGGCCCCCAAAATAGTAGATGTCATCTAAAGAATGGAAGTTTGCAGAGGCATCAGGATGCAGTGTTTGCATTATTTCATAAGCAACGCGACAGACCTTGGGAAAGAATAAAAAAAATTGTTAGTACATAAAAGCTCTCCTTCATAGCAATCTAAAAGCTCTTGGCCGAAGAGATGGGCTCCAGGACTGAAAGGCTGAGAAAAGTGGATTCCAGTCACAAGCTTCCAATCCATTTGCTTTCAGAAGATGGTATAAATCATTCTTCATCTCTGTGTTTGGATTTTTTTTTTTTTTAAACCCACCAAAGATTATTACAATGAAAATCTCTCTCTTTGAATAGTGCAAAATACTTGAAAAACACGAATCGGTTAATTTTAACAAACATTTATCAAGAGCCACAAAGTGGTCCAGGCTGGGCATTGGTAATACAAAAATGAGTAAGACACAGATTGTGCCCTTGAAGAATTTGAGGTTTAGGATCAGAATTGTAAATGTTTAACACAAATGCTGTTGGTTCCTTTCCTTCATTCACTGTTAATCAATCACACACTCTTTTCTGCTAATTTAGAACTTGGTCTCAGAACTCTTCTCAAGAGAGATTCATGTAATTACTCATAATCGACTAGTACTGGCAAGTGAGCTAAAGCATATCTGCCATTTTTGTTCTAAAAAGTTTTAAGTATGCTGAGTAGATAGTAAAAGTATGCTTGGACTGACATAAATTGGGCTCATCTTTGGGGAAGATGCACCTACCTAACTAGTGTAGTCTTAAAGCTATTTAAAAGGCCCTTCTGTCCAAAGAATACCTCCTCTGCCCACCATATAGCAGGTGAAATTCCACAATATGAGCTTCATTCCTTGAGCTCAATGCTTGGTAATGAAGTTAAACTATAACTATCTCCACAGAAGGATAACAGTTTAACAGATTCATTATAGAGTAAATGTGTTTCAGAAACTTTTTAAAGAATAGGTGAAGACAAAGAATATTATTTTGATTGGAAAATACTTTATCATTGTGAACAAAGAACTCGACTCATTAAATTTTCCTAAATCTCCGGTTGTGGTCATCTTAGTTAATGAAGTTTTTTTGTTACTATACCAATATTTTTACATTTATTTAAAATGATACAACTAATAGTAATTGTTAATCTGATTAGTGGAGCAATTTAGGATTACATGGCAGTCTTTTAAAACCATGGAGTTTATAAAGATCAAAAATTGAAAGAAGATGCTTATTGTTAACTCTTATGGTCAAATGGAATCTGATTAGGTTAATCATCACTTCAACCTCTTAGATAATCTGAATTACAGAAACACGAGGGTCAATTCTCAAATGCTATACATAATTTGCAAATGAAACTACGTTTAGGTAGTATTTTTAATTTTGCAGAGGGACTAAAATAGAAGGAGAGTTGCCCAAATTCTTGTGCTAGAATTTCAACTAGACAAAGAACCAAGACATTAAAAACTTTGTTTTCAAGTTTATTACTTTACCAACAAACTAAGTTTATACTGGGAATATCATGATACACTTGAGATCATTGGTAGAATACTGAGACTATAATAGAATGGGGATCAAAAAGATTTAGAACTTATAGTCTACATATGCTTCTAACTGCTATATGTATTTTCTCTTGCAAATCCTGTTCTCCATGTTCACATTTATAACACAAGAAAGATACAACAAAGCCAGAGCCAGCCTTAAGCAAACCTAAGAGTCTTCTTCTCAGGGTCCTTCCAATCACTTCTCAGACAACCCTAGCCAGAAATGCAGGACCTTGTATTACTCTTAGGATGACCACAATTTCCACTGTGGAAATAAACCCTTATATGTTTCCTCTTCTCCACTCTTACTGTCTTACTCTCATAAAAACGATATTGTACTCTGTCCCACACCCTTAGGGATCTGCTATTTTTTTGTGTAGGGGGCAGATAACCCTAATTAGTCTATGTTTTAGTATTAAGAGTTGTCAGTATGTTAGCATTGGTGGATAATGCATGTGTTTTCTTAAATCAAAAAAATAAAAAAAACTCCCATACTACAGTAAAAATTTCAGACACTGAAGGAGGCCAATATAAGAGAGGTTTCTGAAGAAATATGTCTACTGTAGGCCTCTCTAAGCACACCAGTGCCACACATATGTGGGTCTTTATCTTTCTTATAAGAATATGTATACTGTGGCCAGGCGCAGTGGCTCATGCCTGTAATTCCAGCATTTTGGGAGGCTGAGGTGGGAGAATCACTTGAGGCCAGCCTGAGCAACAGAGCAAGACTCTCGTCTCTATAAAAAATAAAAATTAAAAAATTACCCAGGCATTGTAGTGTGTATTTGTGGTCCCAGCTCCTTGAGAGACTAAGGCAGGAGGATCACTTGAGCCCAGGAGTTTGAGATTACAGTGACATATGATTGTGCCACTGAACTTCAGCCTGGGTAACAAAGTAAGATTCCCATCTCTAAAAAGTAGAGAGGAGAGGAGAGACGAGGGGAACGGAGAGGAGGGGAGAGGAGGGGAGAAGAAAACTCTGTAATGATGTAATGATAGCAGCTAAGCCTAATTGAGCACAGATTATGTTCTAGGCACTATTACAATAATGTGTTCTATCCCCACCTTCTCTCAACTCATTTAACCCTCACAACAAACCTGTGAGGTGAGTACTATTTATTAATATTTTACAGATAAAGAAACTAAGCCACAGAAAGATTAATTTCAAAAAATAAAAATAAAGGAGGAGCTAGTAAATGGTAGAGCCACAGTTAGAGCTCTTTCAGGCTCTACAGTATGTGCTTTCAACCACAGACAAAACTGCCTCAGGATAAACAACTAGAACAAGTATCTGTTGAACGAATATTGGCCATGCATAATACCAGCCCAGTAACGGACATGCAAGTAATGGAGATGCAAGTCCATGGGTGATATTTAATCCTTAAGGTCCAGATATAATATTCTGAATGAGTAATTACAAAAACTGTATATATCAACCATGGGCATTTGACTAAAAGGGGCTAGAAAGATTAGTATTATGTTGATATTTTCACTTCATCCCCTATGCTTCCTAGCTAAGCTTACAAATTTAAATCACATGGCAGGTAAATGAAGGCTTTCAACTGATGCCAATATATTCAGGTTTGATATTTGACAGGTAGCATGACAGAGGAGCAATCTATGGTTTCCAAAGCAGTGACTGGCTACATGTAGTATGTTTTATTTCATTCTGTGTTGACATGGCACTATATAATTTTTAGTATACCACTGAGCACACAGTAATGGGTAACAGCAAAAATCCTGCCAAAGAATAAAACACAGATATGATTGTATTTAAAAAAAAATTAAAAATGTGTGTGGGGGTGTCCATTAGTCTGAATTTCGCCCCTTAGGAGTACCAACTGAGTTTGCATGAGAACCCAAAGCTTTCTTAGAACAGATGGGATCTTGTTTTTATCAAACAGATAAGGGCCAGGAGGCTCTCCTAGTGTGAGAAATTGGAAGTGGGTTCTTGCCCCATTGGGTGATGCTGTGAGATCTGTGTACTTTTCCTATAAACTACTTTGTTTTACTATACAATGACAGAGTAAGACCAAGGTCTTTGCTTCCTTGTAAGGAATGCCAAAAGGATTAAAGCAATACAACAGCTACATAGTGCAGAACTCATCATTGCAAGCTAGAGCTTATGCTGATGGAAAGGTACCCTTCTGCTCTGGAAAGCAGTCACAGAGTTCACATAATTGGGTTTTTTACCCTATGCTTTCTCCATGCTACTCACCAGGTATTCACTGTTGTTTCAGGAGTCATACCTCAATGGAAACTCCTATCCAGAGCCATTTGTTGGGAGTAGTTAATGTAGTTCTTTGCCCTATAGACCTTCCAAAATTGGATTCAAAGTGTAATGAAGCCAGTTGTATTACGTGTGCCTATGGAATTAGACCAGAGAGTCCCATGAAAGTGTTGTAATAACTGCCATAAAGGGTGGTGTCACAAAGGAAAACTGTAATTTTGTCCTAAGGTGATTTTAAATGGTTGAAACTACTGAGCAATGTTGACTGCTTGTTAAACAATGCTGACTTTAACAATGTTAAAGTCTTTGCAGTGAGCATCTATAACCATTTACGTACATCAAATTCCAGAGTACTAAAAATTGATTCCAGAATTTGATAAGCAATATTTTCAAAAAACCTTTCTGATGTTTTGCCTATCTACAATTGGGCTATCAACTGCTATTATTTCTCCAACTATAATTTCTTTGCCTCAGATTTAAGATGGTTTCATCAAATAAGAAAATAACTTAAGTGACTAAGTAGATGCTTTGGGCATAGGCAATTTACAATAACATAGAACAAGATTAGTGTATTGGTAGAATAGTTTAGAATGTGACTGTATAACATTCAAGATTCACTTGATGCTCTTGGAAATACTAATATTGCTTCCCATTTTCATATTAAATCTGGAGGACTGTTCTATTCAGTTTATGAGGCTTTTAGGACAAACCTGGCTTTGAGAAACAGCTCTGATGAAAGGATTCAGAAAACTAAAAGCAACAGTAACAAAATTAGATAGAGCCATATTGTTGGCTTTTAAAAATTTTTCACTTAATGACAGATTACTCCCAGAGCTCACTATGGACATAAAACCAAGAAAGATTCGAAGTCCCAAGACTCAGGGGGATGAGTCTAAAAACTTACGAGGAATCCTGATTAAAGTGCCTTGACACTTGTGCCTGCAGTTTTTCAGACATCAAGCCTTGTGTTTTTCCTTTTACCATGGCATTTCATTTCTCCAGTATTGTCTACAATAGTTCATGGTTGACAGGTCAACTCTTTCTATTGGTATATAGTATAACATTCCTTAAAGGATAGCACATAGGAGACAGAAAGTTTACATGAGTGCAACTTAAGGATTGTCAAAGCATTATGAAGAACATATTAAACTGTATCATTTCCTAATCATCTCTTAGGATATGAGCTTATTATCAAGGAAAGTTGAGAGTTGGATGCCTGTGTTTTATTCTGGGCTGAGACTTGATCTCAATGCTTTACCTTTTGTTACTTTTCTGGATACATGGCTTTAGTTTTTCCCCATCTTCTTTCTTTCTTTTTTTTTTAAGAGCCAGGTCTCACTCTAGCACCCAGGCTGGAGTATAATGGAATGATCATAGCTCACTGCAGCCTTGAATTCCTGGGCTCAAGTGATCTTCCTGCCTTTGCTTCCTGTCTTTCCCCATTTTCTAGCATGCCTGTGGCATATATAGGAAAGTCTGAAGATTAATTTCCCTAAAGTCAATACATATACAAGTTTGCATTTGTCATAGCAAACACTATGATCTTGTGTTTCTGAAAATTCATATCACATGGCTATATTTTCTTTCAATAAGCTAAACAAAATGGAATTGAGGTGGTATGCTGGCATAGAGAAATCAAGCTGCTGAATGTTACTGGATTACTCTTCTTTATGAAAAATTCTTATATCTGGTCAATGCACATGATGACCAGGTGGACCCTAAGCACTACACATGACCACAAGCAGAGCTAATGGGTTCCTTACATAGCACGTTTCATGCTCCTAACAAAATGTGAAAGCATATAGTCTGAAACGGAGCCATGTAAAAAAAGAGCTGCAAAATAAATACTGAAGGCAAAGATATTCCTATAACTGTTTCTATGTGTAGTAATAGCAATTAATATGTTTAACACTATATTGCTGAGTACTATTCTTGGTGCTGCTTTACTTTTAATAACTCTTCAATCTTCACAAAAACCCTATGAAGTAGGTACTACTATTTTTTTAGAGGTAGGAAAAAAAAATAGTAAGAAATAGGCTAAGTAATTTGTTCAAGGCCACATCGCTATTAGATGGTCAAAAGGTAGACTCAAACACAGATAGACAGACACCAGAGCCCACACTGCCTCACTCTTGTTCTCTGCCCAGTGAAGTCAATGGATTGCTGTTTTGATCCTATCAGTGACTTTTTCTCAAGCTCCATTGGGGATGCTGATGAGACATTTCCAGGGCATTTTTCAAACAATTCTAATTTTGGTTTATAGCGAAGGAATTGCTATAATCCAGCAACAAATTTCAATCATACTGCAAAAATATTAAATTGTACTAAATATGTATTTACTAAAAATATTTAAAAAAAATACTGTGGTACAAGTAAGCCCAAATATTTATCATTGAATGTGGAATTATTCCACAATTTCAAATACTATAGCTGTTAGTCATCAAATAAGGTATGTGCTAATGGAGATGATTACATTTGGCAAACTGCCACTCACTATATAAATGTAGGGTATTGTTATTGTTAAACTTTCACTCTGCACCCTAATGTAAAATATTTTAAGGTATCTCAAGTCTATTTTGGGAAACAAGTATTGTTTGAGTTTTGCTTTGGTTCAAATAAGCACAAATTATTTTAGGTGAACTTTGACTGCCAAGAATTTCTAGATACAACACAATATATAAGCATGAATCTCATTCCTTTGGATACAAAAAGCCCTCTCGACACCACTCTTTCTTTATATGAATTGCTTCTCTGGACCCAAGGTCTGCACATATTGAGGTTGATATTATGCATAAAACAGAACAAAGTAGTAGGACAATATTCTCCTTAAACCTGAACAGAATTCTACCATCATGAAGTGACAGAGGTCCTCATTTTTGGGTCAAAATTAGAGTTATGAGAACCAAAAAAAAGGAAGAAAAAGAAAATCCTTTTTCTTTCCATTCCAGAAGAGCCTAACTATTACTAAGTAGGGCTAGAAGAAGGAAAGCAAAGCATGAGCACATCCCCTGTAAGTCTCAGTGCCTACACAAGTAACGTCAGTAAACATTCAGATGTATTTATTTATTTAATTATATAGCCTTATCACTAGAACAGTGTTCTCAACCAGGGCAATTTTGTCCCCCAGGGAACATCTGACAATGTTGGCTTGAGGTGAGGGTGCTACAGGCCAGGGATACTCCTAAATATCCCACAGTGTGTGCATTGTACAGCTCCTCACAACAAAGACTTATTTAGCCCCAAATGCCAATAGTGCCTAGTTTGAGAAACCCTGGACTAGAGGAATTAACTTCAGGCAGGCATAAAATCTAGGCCTACAGGGAAACTGGTACATCTGGGAAGTGACTCTTAATTCACTCATTCTAACAATAAGCATCAGGAATGTATAGATGTTGTTACTAGTTACATGTACGTGTTGATCATGTAGGTACAGAGCCAGATTCTCAAAAATAGTTGGGAGGGACCAAGTAGTTATAAATGCCTGCCCACTTCCTGCAATGGGAATGGAAAAGGGAGCTTCTCATAGATAGGATTTTCATCCCAATTAGGGAGAAACATCAATAGTGGATGCCTTCATGGGAACTTGAAGGCTAAGAAGTTTTCCCTTTTGATTGGGACTGCTGCTATGTAATTCCTGGTCTGTGTACATGTCTTTGGGTATTAAGTTCTATTCTTATTCCATATTGAAGGAATCTGTAGCCCTTTCCTGAAAGTTATCTTTCCAAAAATCATATTACCATCCCACCATGACAATGCACACTGTCATATAATAAAAAACTGTCCTTTTAAAAATTCTCTCTGAAGTATATTCCCATGAAAATGATGTGGCTTCCTCCTTTTTCACATTTTCTTTTCCCTGCTTCTTCTCAGCATTTAAGCATATATTTATCTTATACTGATTTATATTTTTTGGTAATTATGCTCTAGTTATTTCACATTGAATATTTTGCTTATTAGATTCTGGACCAAGGCAAAAAGCCGTATCTTCAAACTCCTTTGAAATCCCCTCTGCACCTAGTGTATTTTTGAGCACAAATAGTCATTTAACAGCTGGTTGAATGAACTAACCAATAATCTGTTCATAAATGAGAAAGCAGAATAAAATCCACAATAAATATTGTCATACTGACATTCCATAGGGCATATAAAGCTGATTGAACCACTCATAAAAATACACACATTATCCTCATAAAATATAATTGTCTGCAACAATTAAACTCAAAGAATGATTGTGATATTGTATTGCTTACATTTAATGTACAGTTTCCTGCATGGCAGAAATATAATAGAACTTGAAAAGGAATTACATTTACTTTTTCTTCTTTTCTATAAAGTGATCAAGTGAGGCAAAATGTTGAACACTTAAGCCTCTCAGTATCAGAGCACTGATGTGTAGAAATGGATGGATTCTGGTTACACATTGACTATATGCAAAATTAGGAAGGTATTAAGTAATCTTAATTACTTGCTGTTTCTGTTAAATGCTGTGAACAAGCTAAGTACTTTAAACAACTCCAGTAACCAGCTTTAGTGGAGACTGTAAACAACTAAACATTGCTTGTAAACAACATTGCTTGTTAACACCTAAATATTCAATGCACTTAAATAGCTATTTTACGGGATCTTTTCATTTTTCCACAAAAGGGACAACTTACTAAATACCAGAAAAATTGTACCTGAATCATAACTAAAAAACACACAGACACAAAAATAATAATTTAGTCCTTTATGACCAGAAAGTACTGGTCATTTTAAAAAGCCCTCCTAACACTTACCTGGGATGAAAAAGTACACACTAAGAAGTCTGCCTGAGAGAGAAAATGTATATCCAGGATCACACCCCGAAGTGAATTTTCTGTATATCGATTATGTAGTCCAGCTGACCAAGAGATAGAATTATCACTAATAAATTCATAATTGGGGTACCTGAAAAAAGAAAGCAATTTATTCATGGTCACTGAAATTACAGTATTGCATTTAGGATATAGATTTGCTACTCTGACAAAGAGTTTCTCAAGGAGAGCTTTAATTATGGCATTCAACAGTGTAGTTCATGAGGCATCTTTAAAACCATTAGCAGGGCAAGAACCATTCCTGAATGCTCAGTATACAAAACCTTATTGACCTAGCATATAAAACACATATAGACATATCAAAATGTCCTTTAAAAATTTATGAAAGAGTTAAAAACTGAAGTCTCCTTATTCTGTTTGTAATGAGAAACTTCTAAGAGTTTATTCAAAGTGCTTTCATATTTGCTTACTGAATTTTTCCTTTAGAATATAAATATCATAAAATTTCATTAAAATTTTTAATTTAGAATTCATGATAATTCAGATTTGCGTTAGACTTTGTAAATGTCTTCTTCATTGATATTACAAGTTGATATAACAAAGAAGTTAAGAGATGAATATTTAAAAAATTTTTGAGAACCAATAGTCCCACCTAATGGAATTCAGCTGCACATCAAAAAAATAATCCACCATGATCAAGTGTGCTTCATCCCAGAGATGCAAGGATGGTTCAACATATGCAAATCTATAAATGTAATTCACCACATAAATAGAAGCAAAAACAAAGACCATATGATCCTCTCGACAGACACAGAAAAAACATTTGACAAAAATTCAGCACCTTTTTATGATAAGAACTGTTAACAAAATAGGCATAGATGGAACATATCTCAATATTGTAACATCCATATATGACAAACCCACAGCCAACATCATACTGAACAGGGAAAAAGTGAAAGCATTCCTGCTTAGAACTGGAACCAGACAAGGTTGCCCACTGTTACCACTTCTGTTCTACATAATTGTTCCTAGCCAGAGTAATCAAGCAAGAGAAGGAAATCAAGGGTATCCAAATAGGTCAAACTCCCATCCTTCTTGAAGAACCATCTATTTACTCTCAAACAATAACAGTAATGGAAAGGCCATTATAATAAATTTAGGAAAGCAAATTCCTTGTGGCTATCAACCAAATAGTATTTTGGTTGACTTGTGTGAGATTGGATATGTGTTTAAAAATATTAAAACAAGATGTCTTTTAAAAAGTCAACTGTATGTTTACATGATTCCACTCTGAATTAGAGGTTTAATTGTTCTATAGCATAGAGTGAATAATTTTCTCAGTGTATAAGACAGATCTTGAATTAAGTTGTAAATCTTGGGAAATGACATGAAAAGGGGATAATAGTTATACCTACTTTATATGATTTCTTAAGAATTAAATGATATAAAAGTTTTTGAAAGAGTATCTGATGTAGTAAATGCTCAATAATTATGAGCTATGATTATTAAACATTCTTCCCTTTGACATGCACCTAATTTTATTCCTGATTTCTTTAGATCTCTGCTTAAATATCACCTTATCAGTGAGGAATATGGCAATCCCTATCCCTTTTACCTGCCTAATTTTTCTCCATAGCTCTTTTTATCAATTAATATAATATGTAGTCACTATTTGTTCCTGCCTGCATCCATTCCCCACCTCCATCATCTCTAACTGGAATATAAGCGCTATAAAGGGATACACTTACTCTGCTTTGTTTACTGTATTATTCTCAGCATGTAGAAGAGAATCTGGAATATAATAGAGGGTGAATGAATAAATTGTCTACTGAAAGAATAATAGTTCCTGTTTAGAAACCCTGAAACATTCAGAGTCAGCTTATATGTCTGTCTTCCAAATAGTATTCCCCAAAGGTTAGGATCATGCCTTATTTTCCTTTGCATCACAGCACCTAGCACTTTACACAGTGCTGTGTGAATAAACATCAACAAGTGAAGGCTACCTATGTCTGGGACCTTTCCTAATCCCCTAACAGCTGCTTCGGATTTCTCTTCATTTCATGGCCACCAAGGAGCTTTCCCTCTTTGCCTTTCTAATAATAACTATAAAGGCAAAGTCTCTGAGCACTATTTCAGACTACTTTTTAGTGTTCAGATCTATTTGTCCTCATTATTTTTTATAGTTTGCCCTCCTCAGCTCAGAATCAGGGAGATGAAGAAAATGTCACATTTGTTCTAAAAAGAAAACAACCAGAAATACTTTTAATGTGATCCCCATGAAGTTGCACACTCGGGCATGGGGTAAAACATCAACAAATAAATACGAAGATGCTGGAGGCTAGAGAAGAGGGAGAACTAATAAAACCAGTATAGGTTTTATCCCTGAATAATGACTAACTTTGTCAGCACGGTTTGGATGTCTAATAGTGTTCATTATTAGAGTGTTTAAATCACAGAATCATCGGCAAAGAAATAAGAGCTGTTAGAATTGGCTGTCTAACATTATATTCTAAGATTGTGGAGATTGGGGGTGGGGTGAAACAGGAGGAAAAACAAGCCTTTAAAAATCTCCCAGAGAAAATATTTACATATTTAGTTTACTCAGTGAAACAAAGAAAGTGGTGATTCACTGAGAAGTAACACTAACATTAATGGCCTTTACTTTAAGGCCCTTCTCTAGAACCAAATTGAAAGGGAGTCCTCAGGCCTATCTCTATTTGCAAAAGATGGTTTCATGAAGGATACCAAGAGTGGAAAAAAATGAATAATGGGAGAAAGAGATTTTGCACTTCTCATGAACTTTCTGCATAGACATGGTTCTTATCTTTTGCCCTCAAGTATGTCAGCAGAGGAATTCTTCAATCTTGTGGTTCCACAGATTGGCAATGATAAAAAGAAATTTTCTTTTTTCATCTTATACAAACTTATTTTTATACCACTCACAAATGATTAGCTTGCAGTTATAAACAAATAACAAATTTTTTTTCTCTGAAGTTTTTCTCTAGACCAAGAGAGATACAACTGTTTGTGATTTCACTGTACCCAGTATATGACACCTTCGAGACACTTATCTAACTATACTATAAATTATTTGTTATATGTATATTATCCACCAGTTGGATACTCCCTGAGATAAGACGCCATACATTATCTTCCATTTGTCTTTGTATTCCTTGTGTCCTGTGTCTAGCATATTATAGAAGAACAATAGAGTGATAAACAAATGTACCACTCAGTGCTAATTCTTTATTTCACAGGGCAAACACTTTACAAAAATTTTCTAACAATTTTTCTTGCCTTTACTCATTTTGATGTACTTTAGGAAGAGCTCCTCTAGCATTTTTTTATAAAGAACAAACAGAATATGTAAATATTTTCTCTGGGAGATTTTTAAAGGCTTGTTTTTCTTCTTGTTTCACCTTATCTCCAGTCTCCATAATCTAAGAATACAGTATGAGATAGCCAACTCTAATAGTTCTTATTTCTTTGACTGCCAATGACTTTGTAATTTAAACATTCTAATAGTGAATTGCTTAAAATATTGCCACATTAGAATCACTTCCGCAGTCATTGGGATGTTAGGAATAAAAGCTCATGAACTCAATCTTAACCTAGAGAAATCTTAGGTGTAATATCAAGCCATAAAGCATTAACTACTCATTTTCATATAGAAGCCATATGTGTAAAGCTGATTATGACCCCTTTTTCAAAGGATAAGCTACCCAGAAAAATGGATTTTCTTCTGTGTAAGCACTATACATCACTTAAATTCAATTCTTCATTTCTTTACCCTCTTGAAGCAAAAAAGTATTATAATGATTACATTAGCCATTATATACTTGTGGAGAGATTAATTCATGCTTTTGGTCTCCTAAAATAATGGCAGAGATTTTATGATTTGTTGAGGTATCAAAACCAATCCTGTGAGGTCTAAAACAGAGTAAATGCAAAGTGGAAAAACATTTAAGTAAAAGAATGAAGGAAAAAGAAACAGCATTTAAATTCCTGAGAATATCTTTTGAAATGACTCAGAAAGTTAAAATAAAAGATTTCCAAAGAGAAAAAAATCATGCGTAAAATGCTACTACTTACATTCATAACAGAATGTGGAGAAAACTGCTGCTTGGACTACCACTGGGAGATGAGTTATAGCTGCTGACTACAAAGAGGAAACTCAAGTTTTACTATTCCCAAAGTCCAAGTAGATACTGCCAACTGTCCAAGGGGGTTATTTGTATAAAAATGTTGTGCTATGCTATAGATCAAAGCTATAAAATGTTTATATTCTTTTATCTAAGTACTTCCAAATTTAGAAATCTAGCGGAAGGAAATAAAGTAGATAACTTAAGATATAATTCATAGTATTATATATAAGAGTAAAAAATTGGAAATAACCTAACTAATATTAGGAGAATACTTGGTCAAGTAAGCAATGGCATATCCATATAGTGGATATGTAGACATTAAAAAAGATGTCTACAATGACATTTTTAGCAACTTGAGAAAATGGATCTATTGTTGTATTTAGTGAAAAAGAGTTCAAATTATTTAGAATATGATCATCTACAGTCATGGGCCACTTAATGATGGGGATATGTTTTCAGAAATGTATCATTAGGTGATTTTATCATTATACAAACATCACAGAACGTATTTACACAAACCTAGATGGTACAGCCACCTATACCATAACTAGGCTACATATATATATGCACACCTATTGCTCCTAGGCTACAAACCTGTACAGTGTGTTACTGTACTGCATACAGTAGGCAACTAACACAGTGGTATTTGTGTATCTAAAAATATTTACACACAGAAAAGGTATAGTAAGAATACAGTATTATAACATTGCATTATAATCTTATGGGCATCATATATGTGGACTGTGGTTGACCAAAATATTATGTGGTGCATGACTGTATTAAAAAATACGGCTATATAAATGGGATTGTGGATAATATATTTTTCTTCCTTGTGTATTTACCAACTACTATATTTTCCAATAAATGAGAATTATTTTTAAAATCAAAGAAGAAGGGAAAAAAGCTTGTGATGCATTTAAGAACAAGTGAAAGAGTAGACAAAATTAATATCTTTTTCTTCAATCAAGCTACAAATTCAGTGTGGTGTTTTAAAAAGAAGAAACATAGTGAACTATTACTACTTGGTTTTTCTCTAGTAGGTCTGAACATTAAACTGGAAAGGTGTTTGTGAAAATTTTTGATATGTTTTGTGCCCAAATGTTCATTTAATCCCTAACTCTTGTATTAACTCATTTTTATACTTGGCTGACAAATTTCTTGGACTTTTATACACACACACACACACACACACACACACACACACATAAAAATACACACATATATACAGGCATGTATGTACAAGTGTATGTGTGCTCTAGAGAGGGAGCCTTAAAATAAAAAAGGCAATTTGCATCAAGTTAATCTGGATTCTCAGGAGGTAGAAATAGGATTTAAATTATTATACAATGATTTGGATTAACACCTGCATTATAGTCCTCATTTGAAATGTTTCTTTTCCCCACCCCTATTCATCCTATAGAAAAGGGACCAATAAATATATTAATTAAATAGCCAAATAGCTTAAATGATTAATGGCTGTTTTCAAACTGATGGGATTGAAATCAACACAATTTAGTATTTATTGGACACCTACAAGAGCTAGGTATTGTGTCCAAGGTGCCTATAATCCAGTGAGAAAGACAGAAGCAAGTGCTAAACACTGTGACAGAGGAATGCCCAGAGGAGGGAAACAACCCAGTCAAGGCATCAGGGATGATTTCTGGAGGAGATGGTATCTGAGCACAGCTAGGACTACAATTTTCTTCTTCTTCCTTCCCTTTCATATACACTTAATACATCCTTTATTTATTGATAGTAAATGAAGGCAAACTCCAGGTTCATCCAGATTCTATGATAAGAAAAGTACAACTAAGATCAGTGCTTTGTCTATGTATTTTTATAACACCCTATGTTAACCCTACAGTAGCATTACTCACACTATAGTGTAATTGTTTGTTCCCCTACTAGATTTGGGAAGTCCTTGAGAGCAGGGCATATCTTGTTTATCATGGAATACTCAGCACAGTGCCTGAAATATAGGCGGGCTCAAAAAATTATGGTTACTGTTCAATACATACTAGTAGTGCGTATTCCATCAATAGGCCGGGCGTGGTGGCTCACGCCTGTAATCCTAGCACTCTGGGAGTCCAAGGCGGGTGGATCACTCAAGGTCAGGAGTTCGAAACCAGCCTGAGCGAGACCCCGTCTCTACTAAAAATAGAAAGAAACTAATTGACCAACTAAAAATATATATACAAACAATTAGCTGGGCATGGTGGCATATGCCTGTAGTCCCAGCTACTCGGGAGGCTGAGGCAGTAGGATCACTTGAGCCCAGGAGGTAAGCCGGGGAAAAATATATAAAAAAAAAAAAAAAAAAAAAAAAAAAAAAAGAAAGAAAGAAAAAGAAAAAAAATAACAAAACATATCTTTTGATTCTTTACCTGTCTTTAGAATAACTTCCAAATTCCAGAAATTTTTATAAGACAAAAACTCTTTATCTAAATATGTGTTCAGCTGCCTGTCATGAAGACAGTGAGATCAAAAGAATAAGCACCTGGTGTGTTTTACTGCTAATAGTTCTGTATACTTGGTTAGTGTTATGAACTGAATATTTCTGTCCCCCCCAATTCATATGCTGAATCCCTAACCACAATGTGATGGTATTTGGAAATGGGGCCTTTAGCAAGTAATTAGGGTTAGATGACATCTAGGAGGGTGGAGGCCCTCATGATGGAATTAATGACCTGATAAGAAGAGATACCAGAGAGCTTGTGCTCTCTCTTCCCACACATAAAGAAGTAGTTAAGTGATCATACAGTGAGATAGTAGCTGCCTACAAGTCAATAGAAAATGAAATCTACCTTGCTGGCACCTTTATCTTCAACTTCCCAGCCTCCACAATTGTGAGAAATAAGTTTCTGTTATTTAAGTCACCCAGTCTATGGTATTTTGTTATGGCAGCTCTAGTAGACCCATGCAGATTTTGGTACCGAGAAGTAGGTGATACCTTTAATGATAATAATAATTATGAATGGTGCATAAGTCAGTGCTCTAGTTCATTTTGGATTTCTTATTACAAGGCATTGTCAGATATGCTAGTAAAATATCCTTTGATTAGATTAACAAGTACACAGTCATCTGAATTTTTAAAACCCCAATAATATTATAACAAGAGTCACAAGTCATGGGAATTGAAGATTCTTTTCAACTAAAAGAGATAATCCCACTCTAGAATCACTATATGGTCTAACTTACTTCGTTTTGGCTTCTTTTAATAAAGAAGGGTCATCCGTGGCCAAATATACCCTTTTTTTGTCCACTTGCATTCTGCGTGCAAGAAGCTGAAAATGTTCTTCAACATGCACCATGTATTCCTCAATGGGATGGAAGGCAGCTTCTGTTCCCACTTTGTCTGTGCGTCTAACATGGACTCTAGGGGAGAAATTCAGACTGTTGATAATGTACTGATGCACTGGGTGCTTTCTGGGTACTCAATTTATATCCCTACTCATGGTGGCATTACAAGCATTTTAACCAATTTTTCTTTCATTTTCACCATGAGAAAAAAATAGTATTTAAAAAACTGAAACATATATATTCTAAATATATTTGCAGGTTAAACAATACAAAGGGAATTAGAAAATAAGTAAAGCCTTGAAGAATGCTTTCTTATAGAGAAAGCAATTGGCATGTCAGGAACAAATGGGAGATTCCAGAGTTGTACTTCTAGGCAACAATACCAACCAGTTGTCCAGAAAAAACTGGAGATAACTTTTAAGATTTTTGAGACCAAAATGATACCAGGATTCACAGTTGTTATTATGTAACATGAAAGATATTGTTTGTAAAGTTCTGATGTCAAAGGTTTTTTTTTTTTTTCTTCATTTTACTCTGTAGAGTCACTATAACTGCCAGCTCATAGAATTTAAAGTTGTCCAAGGAAAGCATATGGACTTTTCCAATAGTACAGTTAAAGCAAACCTTTTTAGGGTTTTTACAATTTTAAACAAATGGAGCCAATCCAGCCCTACTGTTTTGTGCACAGTGAATTTCCTTTCTTTGTTTTTCACTCCATCAAACACAAGCAGATACTGATATTATCTGTCTTGTTTAAGAAAGGTCCCCAAATTGTAATATTAGGGACATAGATTTACATTGTCCTGTATCGAAGAAGGCACTGACTTCCACAGTATTCTTCTACCATCTAAGTGCTTTCAAAGCAATTTTAATGGAAATAAGAATAACATAGTATGTTTTCATAAATTAGAAGATTCTCCCCAAACCTGTCCTCCTCATCTGCCCAAATTACTAAAACACTGTTCATATGCAGAAAAAGGAAAACAGGTAGATTTATTTCCTTTTAGGACATAGCATATAGGCATGCCTTAGGACAAGCCTAAGGCCAGGTTTTTATTATGAATTTGAAATGAAGGTTTGATTTCACTGGAGTTACTTTGTTGTCTCCAGTGCTATTCTTTCTTTTGCATTCCAGTCTATAGTCCAGATGTGGATATTACATGCACATCTATTCTATCATCTTTTCCTTCTCATATTCTTCCTAATTATCCATCCCTTCTGCAGGGAAACTGGAATTGTTCAGTGTGCTCTATAGGAATGAACTGGGGCAGAAAGACTGATTCCACTGAATTTCAATGAAAAGTTCTGTGAGAAGAAACAATATTTTATATTCTGATTTCACATATCTTTAGCTGTAACACTTAGACTAGGGATCGGTAACTTCTCTACCTATGAAGACTAAGACATAAGAGAAGGTGTGGGGGCAAGAAATATGAAATAAAAATAAAAACAAAAGAGATCTGTAATGATAAGAGGACGAGCCAAAGAAAGAGGAATATTTGACACAGTAGCAGAAAGCTACTAAGCAATTTTCTTAGCTGTTCTAAATGAACAAAGGAAGAAAAGTTTCCCTGTGTTCTAAGGTGAACTTTGGAACCTCTGTTCTTTGGTGGGGCTGTAAAAATTAAACTCTATTGTAAAGTTCACACCATATTGTAAAGGTTCATAACCCTGTTACTATCTATCACTGTTTGAGAATAAAAATCAGATTCTTACCCAATAACTGGATGTTTGAAGCCAAGCTTCTTGGTGGCCTCTTCTATTTCCTTTTCTAGCCAGGGTTGTGGGCGGATCAAGTATTTGACAAACTGGGACACCCACCACACTGCAGGATCACCATGGACACGTACAAGTCGATCTGCAAGGTCTTCTGGTACAGCCAAGGGTAGATAGGGAGGACGTGGATGAAGACTGTCTACGATAGGGAGCTCGACCACTTGAACATTTTTGTCTTTCACTTCACCTAACAGAATATCAAAACATATCGTCAGTACCACACTGTATTTCTCACATATCTACCACTCAACAAGAACTCACTCTGGGTGCTTTCATCCTCATAGCAACTCTAAGAAAGTATTATAATTTTTACTTTACAGAGGACATTAAGTAACTTGCCCAAGGTACCAGAGCAAAAGTGACAGGGCTAAATTTCACATGCAGGTTGGTCTGCCTCTTGATCTTATGACCTTTTCTAAAAATATCTGTCATAACATGCTATCATATCAACACCTCATACCCCAAGAGAAGGATGGTATCCAGCACTCAAAGTATCTAATCAGAGAATAACCATATTGCCAGTAGACACAGACAGCTAGCAAAGTTCTGTTTTTTGTTACTTTTTTTTTTTTTTAGAATTAGACAATAAAGTGTTCTCAAACTTCCACCTTGTCACTATAGCAAATTGTTCTTGCATTATTTTCATTACAGTGCATGATGACTCTGGGGATACCTAAAGATTACAATTATAAGCCAATCATCTATATTTTTTAAAGAAAAAAAAATTTAGATAATTCTAAAATTTTTTTTCTTGTTCAAAATAGACCTATTGTATTTTCAATTATGATAATAACAGAATCTGTGTTGCTTGTTTACCTGGATATTAAAGTTCAAACAGAGGGTTGATGCTAATTTTTACAGATGATTACTTTCATAATTCAACTTCTATGTATTATTAATGCTACTACTATTCTATCAACTTTATAATGCAATGATGAGAATAAACCAAAATGTAACAGCCAGCACCCCTAGAGTTTATTTTATATATTAAAGACTATATAGTATAGTAATAACTGGGAGACACAAAGATATCAGGCAGAGAGATTTTACTATCATAAAATATACTGAGTTAAATTTTCAACAGCAAAAAATATTAACCCAAACATACAAAATAAGTCTAGTTAAGATGTTGTCATTGTGCATAATAAATTAGAATCAAAATCACCAGATCATTAAAGAACACACTTATTGAGAATAAACCTAGAACATGTTTAAAATGTATTCACTAGAATGAAATACAGTCTTCAAATTCTGTTTTTCTGTATGTATGCAAAATGTTTTAAAATAAATTAAATGATCCAGAAATGTAGTCAATCAAACCAACTGCATGGTTATTAGAAAGTCAGTTTGGTTAATAACCACTGGTTAATATTCTCTCTCTGATATGTAAAATTCATTTTAGGACTCTTAGAACAAAATCCTTGAAACACGACATTTGTTACATGAATAAATGGCAATAAAAAAATTTATCATCAGTATTACAGTTCATTTAGGGTGCCAGTTAAGAAAGAGCTGGGCAACTTTATCAGATGAGAAATTATAATAATTAAGAACGTGAGAGGAAAGAAAAAGCTGCATTTTAAATTAAACTGTAATAATCTCCATAAGGCAAGGAAAACTAGGGTGCTTTCCCCGTTATGGAGATGATTGTGGGAGTAGTACATGTATTAGAGAGAAAAGGAAGAATAAAAAAGGAAGGGGTAAAGGTAGTCCTTTTTAAAATAATAAATAAAGAGAAAAAGAAAGAAAGACCTCAGCCTCTCACATTATGACCATAAATCCTGCTTTCTATAAACAAAAGCAAAAGCAAAAGCAAAATTAGTAGGGATGCCTTCCTCTTGCAATTTCTTCCTAACAAGGTAATAACCAGGAATATTCAGGTAACAGGGTAATACTCTGTATAACTAGCTCCAAATTTTATTTATATGAAAGTGTTACTCTCTAATTGTCCCAAAGCCTCAGCTTCCTTATAGCTTGCCCTATTAATGGCTTTTAGAAAGAAATGAAAACTATGCCCACACTTTCAAGAAAAAGAACTCAGTTTATTTTTATTGATTCTTTGTGCATTCATTTATTCACTTGTTCAAATACTTAGTGAGTACTACTATGTGTCAAACACTGTATTAGGCATCGTATATACTGATGACATGGTTCTTGACCTCAAAGTAACAACTACTCAAGATTTCCAGTTCAAAAACCTCACCCCGACTAGACTGCTTTCAGTGAAAGAAATAAACAAACAAAATAAAACAAAGCATCACCATCAAACATGCTATCAAAAAGATATCAGTACTCCACTGTCTAGTAAAATATTTTTTAAAAGGTGTTTATATTTACAAATAAAAAACTGGTACAGAATAAAAGCTTAGATTCCTCAATAATGATATATTTCAAAATGCAAGAAAACAACATAATACATGCTATGTTACAAGGCCCCTTCTTTTTGTTGGTTTACTATATAAAATTTTATATTCTATTGGAATACAGCTTCAAAAGAATTTTAATCAGAAAAAAATCCTAGAAATAATCTTATTCACTGTTTTCTAAATTTTAGTTATTTGTGTACTGTCTATATGATTTTTACTATATCGCTCTACCACCTGTACTATTTAATATTTTAAAAACTGATACACTTTTTAAAACTTAATTTATATTATAGATGTTAACCTTAAATATAAATTCCCTGAAAACAAAACCATGTTACTAAATTCTATGTATATGGATGCTATAGTTTATTGAGGACTCTAAACCCAAGCCAGATTTCTGTTAAAAAGCGAGATTATCAGTGAGGGTCTTAAAGGGTGATAATTGCTTTCCTCCTTATATCTCCTATGAGTTTGAAACCAACTGAGAAACAGAGAGGAATAGGATGGTAACCAAAATGCCAGCTTGATAATCAAGAAGGATGAATTCAAAATGTGATTTTGTGGTTTGGATTTATGGTTTCATGGGTTTTCTAATAGTCCCCACCTTGTTCTGAGAAGAGTTTGTCCATCAAAGCCTACTACATGTGAGGAGAAGCATGCCTTCTGAGAATGGGGCACATTGTGAGAGAAGCCAGAAAGGGCTGTGCCTCACATGTTCAGTTCCTCCTCCCAAACTCACTGGTTGGATAACACACTACTTTCCTTCCAAACGGAAGGGAACTGAGGTAAACAGAAAGAGTAAAAAAGAACTTCTACAATTTTTCCTTCTAAGGAATTAATTTGACTTCTGTGGAAACACTTAAGGAGTGGAAGATTCATAGTACGTGCTCACCCTCCTTCCTCCCTGAATGATTATCCAGTGTTAGAGAGCTATTAAAGATATCTTGATACCAAATTGAGACTTTCTCTGACATAATATGAATGACTGAAAAAGGAGTAACTTTATCACTAGGTGATTCAATGTTTAATCAAGTCAATGCTTAAAATGATCTCATATGCCACCTAAAATCATCTCTTGTAATCTTGAGTGAGTTTCAGAGTTTGGGAAACACAGACTTATTAAAACTTTTTCATTTTAAGAGGAAACAGATTAAGAGAGGTTAAGTGAAATTCTCAAAGGTAATACTGCTAATAAAAGGGGCAAAAGTCAACCCTAATGTTTATCTATTACTCATACTACATTCTACTTTCTGAAACCTACATTTTAGTTTTGTTTTATAATTGAAAATTAATAATTGTGTTTATTATGGGATACAATGTGATGTTTTGATCTTTGTACATATTGTAGAAATATTACATCAAGCTAATTAACATCTGTCACCATACCAACTTATTTTTTTGTGGTGAGAACATTAAAAATCTATTTTTATAGCAATTTTGAAATACAAAACATTATTAGTAAATAAGGTCACCATGCAGTGCCATAAACCACTAAAACCTATTCCTCCAGTCTAACTGAAATGTTCATCAACATCTTCCTTTTCCCCATCCATCCCCTCCACCCTCCAGCTTTTGATAATCACCTTTCTACTCTCTGTTTTTATGAGATTGACTTTAGATTCCAAATATAAGTGAGATCATACAGTATCTTTCTGTGTCTGGCTTATTTGACTGTTAGAAGTAATAAACAAAATCAGTAAGTTGTAGGTCACAAAAGTTGCAGGTCACAAAATCAACATACAAAAATAAATAGTGTTCCTATACCCTAACAACAAACTATCTGCAAAAGAAATTAAGGAAACAATCTCATTCACAATATCATCAAAAAATAAAGTAAAATAAAATACTTAGGAGTATATTTATCCAAGGAGGTAAAAAATCTGTATACTGAAAACTATAAAATATTGAAAGATATTGAAGAAGACAAAAATAATAAAAATATATCCCATGTTCATGGACTGAAATAATTAATATTGTTAAAATGTCCACACTACCCAAAGCAATCTGCAGAGTCAATGTAATTCCTATCAAAATTCCAATGTTATTTTCCACAGAAATGGAAAAAACCCTAAAATTCACATGGAAAAACAAAAGACCCCCAAATTAGCCATAGCAATTTTGAGCAAAAAGAAGAAAGCTGAAGGCATTACACTCTCTAATTATAAAATATATTTTAAAGTTATTGAGGTCAAAATAGCATGGTATTGGCATAAAAACAGACATGTTGACCAGTGGAACAGAATATAAAGCCAGAAATAAACCCAAGTATTTATGCTCAATTGGCTTTCAATAAAGGTTTCAAGAACACATAAAGGGGAAAGGATAGTCTCTTCAAAAATCAAATTAAAATGGATAAAAAACTTAAACATAAGATTGGAAACTATAAAACTACTAGGAGAAAACATAGGGAAAGCTCTATGACATTGGTCTGGGCAATGATTTCTTGGAAAGAATTCCAAAAGCACAAGCAACAAAAGCAAAAATAGACAAATGGAATTGCATCAAACAAAAAAGTTTCTGTACAGCAAAGGTAAAAGCACAGTGAAGAGACAACCCATGGATTGTAAGAAAGTATTTGCAAACCACGTATAAAGAGCTAATATCCAAAATATATAAGTAACTCAATAATAGTAAGAAAACAAATAACTTGATTAAAAAATGGATAAAAGATCTGGATATTTCTCTAAAGAAGAGATACAAATGGCCAATAATATATGAAAAAAATGCTCAACATCTCTAAATATCAGAGAAATGCAAATTAAAACCACAATGAGATATCACATCATACCTATTAGAATGGCTATAATCAAAAGCATGAATA